TTCTTCAGTATAGTTTAAAACCATACATTTAATCTGTCCACCTTTCTTCCTCCGTATATTTCTTTTTCGACTTTTGCACGAAATATTCTTCAGTAAAGTTTAAAACCATACATTTAATCTGTCCACCTTTCTTTGAAAAAACATCTCATGAAAAAACAAATGTCTTTTTTTTTCAAATGAAATAGGATATGGCGATATAAAGTGTGGATAAATCGGATGAATTATGGAAGAAATGTTATTCAGAAGAGATCGGTCAAAAGCTTTTCAGATTTCCTTAAAATCTACATAACACTATAAACAATAACACAACAAGGCTGTGACTTTCGACTGGATAATTCTAAGAACGGTAGCTTTGATAAACCTTTTGATGTCCGGATCCTTATCATGAATAGACAATCTAAAGATTGTAATACTGAAGTATGTTTGGTCAGTATGCCTTCTTTGGACAGATTGGATAATGTGTGGGTAGAGATTCCTTCATAATCGGACAGGCCTAATTCGTTTTGCATGCACGAAATGTTGTAATATCTGCATTAAACGGTAAAGTTATTTAACATTAGGATCAAGGGATCGATAAAGGCTTGTGTTTTGTTTACATTTTAGATTCCAGTCTGCTAATGCTTATTAGGAATAATAGGCGGAATGGATTTGAGCTACTTTGAAAGTGAATCCAGTGAATCTCATTCCATCAACACATTGAATTTTCATTACAATTGATGGATGGGATTTCACAAAAATGAAAAGATCTCATAGTCGCCCGCAACCCATCTTGATTATAGATTATAGCTGAGGTAGAACAAAGCCACCTGGAAGAAGTTGTACTTAAGTAAATATTTTTTCAGTTGTTGTAGCATTTGCTTGTAAATTGCTTGAGATTGGAGGAGACAATTGGAGTAGAGTAACTGTGGGAAAAGAGTGTATTTCTGTAAAGAGAGCATGTTTAGATTTTTGCCTTGAAAGATTTCTCGTGTAAAACATTGATGTAATTAGCAAACGCTCCCTTATTTACAAACTCGAACATAATCAATTCCTCAGGGGGTTCTATGAAAGTTTCCATAAGTTTTTAAAACTAGTTCGGGTATCCGCTATTTTTCATAATGTCGCTGTCCGCAGCTTCGATAAGGTATAATTTGGAGATATAATAAAACCTTAACGTTACATTACTGCATCTTAGACAATACAATCATATAACACTGATTAAAGGTATGACACAGATATAAAGACAGGGGTTACTAATGAACAGTATAAAATAAGGTATACACATAGGACACTGACAGATATAGAGACAGGGAATATTGATGAACAGTATAATACAAGATGTTAACACATCCCAACCTGATAAAGGTATTAAAGGTATTATGCAGATACAGAGACAAGGAATATTGAACAGTATGATACAAGATGTATACACATAGCACTTGATAAGGTATGATACAGATACAGAGACAGGGAATATTGATGAACAGTATGATACAAGATGTTAACACATCCCAACTTGATAAAGGTATTAAAGGTATTATGCAGATACAGAGACAGGGAATATTGATGAACAGTATAATACAAGGTGTACACACATGGCACTGGTTAACGTTATGATACAGATACAGAGACAGGGAATATTGAACAGTATGATACCAGGTGTACACACATAGCACTTGATAAGGTATGATACAGATACAGAGACAGGAAATATTGATGAACAGTATAATACAAAGTGTACACACATGACACTGGTTAACGTTATGATACAGATATAGAGTCAGGGAATATTGATGAAAAGAATTAAACAAAGTGTACATACAGGACACTGGTTAAAGTTATGATACAGATATATAGACAGGAAATATTGATGAACAGTATGATACAAGATGTATACACATAGCACTTGATAAAGGTATGATACAGGATTGGGACAGGGAATATTGATGAACAGTATGATACAAGGTGTACATACAGGACACTGACTAAAACTAAGATACAGATATATATAGAGAGAATATTGATGAACAGAATTATACAAGGTGTACACATAGGACACTGGTTAAAGACATGATACAGACGTATATATATTTAGCAGTGACAAGGAATATACAGCTTGAGGAGTACAGAAGCTACATACATATAGATATATATTATTAAGGCGACGGTATATATATCTTAGCACTTTGAAGAGTGCTGCAATACATATTTAATTTACACACTGAATGGATGAGTGCCACACACAAGAAACATACATGATTTATCAAGGTTTATATATGTAGAGGGTGCCAATGGTTCAGCCAGGTATCCGGACTTAACCATCGTATACAGATACAGAATTTTAACATTATAATTGACGATAATTAACGTAGATTAGAAGCATATCTTCTGTATTTAATGCAACTTGTATGTTAGAGAGTGAGTCTGTATTTGTTTTTTTACCTTGTTCTTAATGTATTCTGGTCAGTTTATTTAATGTATAAAGTTGGTTTGTTTGTAACAACATCATCCATTATATGGTACAAACAACCTATCTTGTACATGATAATGGTCACACTACAGATTGCATGTACTATGTATGCCACTTGTACAAGCATATGTTCAAACTAAAATACAAACAATTATCAGATCCAAACAAAAGTGTCGTTCGAGATTTTTTTTTAAACATTCGATGAATAAGTAGATTATTTAGCAGTTGAAAATAAATCTTATATTCATAGTGACAGGGATGGAAATCTGAATAGTTTGGCCTCCTTATGTAATTTAAAAGTGTTGTACACTGATAGGCTTTAAATGAGTTTACTGCAGGCAATAAATCTCGCTGACCAAAGTTTATTTATCATATGATAGATATGATAGTGTAACATTTTTACTTGAATTGTATTAACAGATTAAGATTAATCCAATAATCAAATTGATACAAAAGATGATGAAAATGCATTGAGTGGAATAAAGTTACTACATCCATTTTGGGTAATAACTCTCTGAATTTGGCATTAATGCTAGCCACGATAGTCTATAAATACGTAGAAGTCCTAAAAAGCTTCAGCTTAGATTATTTTTGTTTTGTTTTGTTTTTCTTCTTCTTTTTTTTTTTTTTTTTTTTTGTAATTACAGCTGTTTTCCTTACATTTAATATTCACAATTCCTGTGTGATATCTATTTAGATTGTTCGATATTACGTCCTGGACCAAAATCTTTCAGAATACCGTGGCCGGTATTAGGGCTAGGGTTTCTTTTTGAACAAGAAAATGCAATGTCCGTATATTGTTTAACATAATGTCTAGACTCCTGTAAAATACCATGCCATTCATGAGAAAACAGAAAGCATAACTCTACAAAAATATTTTTTAGAATCAAATCGTAACATTTTGATTATGCAGATTGAACATTTAGTCTACAAGCTATCGTTGTGTTCCAGAATAAAGCAGCTAGGAAACAGAGAAACAGGTCTTAGTTCGGAATCTATGGAATGTGGCGGCTATTACTAAGAGTCTTAAACGTGACGAGTGTCAGAAATCTTCTTTGCGTGTGTGATTTTATCAAGTGCTAAACCACAATAGGATATGCTACGTAAATGTACAAAACAGAGGGTTACCAGGTATATATATAATAACACCTTTCAATAAAAAAGCAGATCTAGCAAGCCAGTGTAAAATATTTATCTGAAATCTTCCATTGTCGATCCTGAATTCAAATGATAAAACTGAAATGAAAAGAAAACATTTGAAGAGCAGAGCATTGCATTGATATATAAGTGAGAAAATTAGCCTGTTGGCTCCGTTGTTGTACATATTGTTCTCGATTGCAAATGTTGCATTACATTGACCCAAGATCCACTTGGCGGGTATCGTCGATTAAGCAAATGGCGCTTATTCTTCCGAAACACATGGTCTTATCATCTTCGTACTTTTCGAAAGTCTCCATGTAAACTTTTCTTTTGTTCATATTTTGCAATCTTTTTATTAAATTTGAGTTTGGATAATGATTATCTTCACATGTTAATATTTTTCTGCTGTTTATAGAAGAACTCGTACGAATACTAAACATGATTTTTGACCTTGTCTCCTCCCAGCTTTCGACACATAACATCACTAACGTGTGATGCAATTTGATTCATAGTTTTTTTCTTTCTCATGTGTAAGCTGCTAATCATTCTAGTTATTTTTTTTACAGATTCAGATTATCATTATATTGTAGTATATAAGGTAATTAAAGATATATATATATCACTAAAATACTTTTTGAGTTTCCCCGTTCATATGATAAGAAGGAAAATGTCCGCGTTGTTTGGTGGTATCAATATATAAATCATGTCCTGCTAAAGCTTAAGGCTGTACTTTGGATTTTCTGGTCATTCCATTTTATTATTACAGAGATTTTTATTACTGCGAATTGCATAACATTTGGAACAGAAAAAACGACATTTATAAACATTGTTCAATGTTATATGATATAATTTTGTATATATTGAAAGTGTGACAGTGTGTAACTTCACAGACACCTGAACAGATTGTGAATATCAATAACTGTTCTTATCGAACAGTACGAAGATTTGCTTCTTGGTGTAGGATATAAATATTTTTGAAATACAAGTTTTCTTTCAATTCATATCTATATTCATTCATTGAATGTAATTTAATCTTATCAAGTAACGATAGCCCAAACATCAACAGTATCTGAAGTAAAAAAAAAATAATAAAAAAACACCAGACTTTGAACTGGTCATTGTATGAATATGATAAATGAACGCTTTAAAATGATTTAATTGGAACTGCAGTCCTGCTTAATAGTATATACAAGTAGGTCGTTAAAGATAATGGCACACTACTACAAACCCGACAAGCTATGCTTATGGTCAGTTTATCAAACTTAATACAATAAACATTTCTTCAATGGATCAATAGTATACTTACTGGACATCATATACCTGTGTTCATTACCAATATCAAACAAAAAATCAATAATTCTGTAATAGTTCAGGACCTGAAATCCAAAGCATTGTAATGGGGCAGTGATCGATGCCGGTGATATCAGCGCTGTTGATCCTTCCCATTGGCGTCACGAGAGTGGCATACAATCAATACAAGCCACATGAAAGCCATTCCGAAAACAGCGACTTTCCACAGGTAGGACTGGTGATATTTATCCAGGTAATTGTGACAAGCGTCCCGACCATCGATACATAGTAAAGCAATCAGCAGTGCGTATTACCTGTCTACGGTTATTTTCAAAAAACATCAATATTTTATTGGAGTCAAAGCTGTTTCAGGACGAGGCTTGTAGTATCAGTATCATCGCGCCGCCATTAGCGACGAGTAGTTCTTCGTATTACCGTTTCTTCAGCTTGCCATGGGCACGTATTCACAGAGACTTGTCCCTGTCTTCTGTGTTTGTGTCATCATTTTCCTCTATTCCCAAGGTAAGTGTTCACATATTTCTGTGTTACGATGTGACAGTTGTAATTATATATTGTCATTTAAAAATCCACAAAGAATGAATGATCAAATATTGTCACTCTATACTCTGTATTAGAGAGATCTTTGCCTTATAGATGACTTATGATACTTATGAATAAAACAAATTAGAGGTCATTACACTTTATCTAGTTCTGGAAAAGGACAAAAAATGTCTTCCTTATCAATTACATTTTGCGTTTTTTAAATGGATTGATTATGTCAGACAAGTTGTCCTGACACCACCCCTTCTATGAGGACATTGACAGCACATCTACGGTGTCATATTAGTTGCCAGAGCATTTTATTGTTTTTATTGTTCATTTACTTTTGATACATTTTAACATTTTGTGGAGAGTTGATTTACTTTGTCAAATTTAATAATGTATTGTTTAGTGTACAGCAGAAATATTCCACAAAACACAATGTCAAATGTTTCATCCTGAAGATCCCATGATTTATTGTTCTACACGTGTTAATTACACGTACAAACTTATCTTAATATAACTCCTAAATTTCATAAAAAAAAGCCAGTGTCAGAATCTTATAATTAATTCTTTATCTGCTATTCTCAAGATGTCTTTAGATTGAAATATATCCGTTCTACACACATCCTTTGTATCATGTCAAATTAGTGTGAACACGAATCACCCGAGTCTATACACAAAAAGAGGTCATCTCCTGCTGAAAACTATATCAATAATCTAACACTTCTCCTTTAGATATCATAATCAGCTTCAAGATTATGGATATGGTAGATGATAACTTTTGTCTGTATTAATCACCCTTTCTGTATGTTATTGAATCTTCTATCAACGTACTGACCTTATACATGTTGTCTATGTAACCTATATCACCACGCTGGTTTAGTTTCTGTGGTTTGTGGAAGTGAAATGAAATTAGAAGAGTTTAACATTTTCAGGTAAATTTCCTTTTTGCATGATTTTTTTTAAAAATTGGATATTGCAATGGCATTTCTTCAAACGATTTGTTCTTATAAATGAGAGTATGTAACAAAAACTTTAACGTGTAACATTTTTCAAAGCCATCCACTCATTGTAGGGCGGTGGGTTAAGGTCATGTAACATATCTAGCATAGCATTTTGGCTCCTTAAGGCGGCGAAAGAGAAGTACCACCCATCTGGCCTTTTCGTCATCATGATTTCGTGTTTTCGTGTGTTTATATTTTTAATTAGGAAGGGGAAGAATTCACTAATGTATTGAAGGTAATGAAGGATACTACAATATACATGTTAATGTCTAGTAATTACATCAATGTTTGTTTTCTATGTATTTACTTGTGTATAACGCCTTCATTTTTCTAAATGTCAAGTTTAAGTATGTTATATTAACAATATTGAATGGCTCTCGCGTAATATCGTATATATTTCACAAATATCGTAGACTAGATATATTTTTACGGGTGCAAAGTGTGATATTTTCTGTCATACAAGAGAAAAATGCCGATCCAAATATTAGATAATGTGGTGTTTAAAAAAAGTGTGGAGACACTAACGCTTTTCTTTGCCGTCAGAAAATTTGACGTTACCTTGACAACAAAAGACATTTTGAATATGTTGCTTTACGATCATTTTCTGAAAAGAAAAGCCTACAAAATTGTTTAAAAAAAAACTACAAAAAAAAAAAAAAAAAAACAAACAAACAAACAAAAACAAAAAAACAACTAAGAAAAATACACGGGAATTATTTGATGGGGAAACAACTTATTTTACCTTTGCTTCATTTGTATCGCTAGTTCTGATGTAAGATTTATTTTACAGTATTGTAGATAGATAATAAATAAATTCTTCCAATGCAAAACATGAAATAAAACAACTTAATAACAAGACTGGCTGCTAGGTTTTTTACCGTCCTCAATCCGAATGAAAACTATCGAGACAGAAAGTCTAAGAAGTTATTGTTGTGTTTGAGATGTTTAATATATCAAATATATAAAGATATGTATAAATGGTTCGTTATTCTGACTTGTTTGTTTGTCACAAGCCCATAAGAAATTTTAAATGGTTGCAGTTTTTAGAAAATAATTAATTTATCAGTGAGCAAAATAAATTCTTCAAAAGCGCTGCCTATGTTTGTGCCGCAGCAAAATCAATTCATAAATTATTTTCCATTTTGAAAAAAAATTCTCAACTTATCAAATATAAAAAAGATATGAAGTATTACACTTTCATGCTATCACTATTCAACTACGACACGCATGAGATATGTTACTTTCACAATGGCTTATAATATCTCAAATACATTGTGCCTATAACCCTTCTGTTTGGGTAAATTCGACAGCAAAGAGAAACATGTGAGAGGAGAGAGAAAGAGGGAGTGTCGCTAGCACACTGCTACCTGGCGTCATTATTAAAATAAAATATTTCAAAGTCCTTCAGTCTTGATACTATAGTTCGATTCACTTTATCAACAATTTATACGGATATATTGACAGGAATAAAAAAATCTAAAGGGTAATTAGTTATAAATGATGACAACCTAGATAGCTGGATGTTTGGGTTTTATGACTGTTTTGGTTTTTGCAGTTTTGATCCAACTTGGCTGGCGGAGACATGTCTTGTTTAACTAGAACATTGTTTGTTTTGAAGTTTAAGCGAGATGGTGAAAACTCTCATTTCTAATTTCTATGAAACCTCGTATCAATCACAGTTTTTAGGACATCTGAAATAAAGAGATTGTTCGAATTTTGCCTTTAAACGCTACTTCTATCTAATGCCTACGTGGATTTCAGCCAAATTTGGTCTGAAACATCATTGATAGAAAGGAATAACGTATTAAATAAATCAAGTTGATTTGACCTCTGAAGAGACGGGGACTAACACTGCAACTATTTCTTTAAAACGCTATTCCTTCTGCACGCCTTTGCAGATTTCAACTAGATTTGGTCTGAAATATTACTTGGGGGAAGTTATCATAACTGATATAACTGAGATGCCAATGGAATTAGGCTTTGAAATTCTCTCTGATATGCCTGGAGGAATTTCACAAATTTCACCAAAGCATCACTTGGGGAATACAGTCGTAATTTATATAAGTGCAGGTATTGCGGTCAAGAAGTGAGGCCTTTCAGGAGAATTCAGGTGATTAGGCTATAGAATTCTTCTCCTCTGATATTACTGGGAAAAACAGGTTTATCCTGAAATAGAATTATTGAAGAACGACCATAATTAATATAACTGAAGATATTGCAATCCCAATGTGTGGTTTGGTGACTTAAGGCCTAGTCAAGCCGTTTCAGGCAGACCTTGCGAGCTACTTCCGGGGGTCAACCAGAGCTTCCGGCAGATATACCAGGCTTTCAAACTTCACACCTTAACTTGCTAGCAGGCAAGCACGAAAGTCAGAGATGCCCAGATCGAAGTTTCAACATGTTTCGGAAAAGTCGCGTGAGTTTGCCCATAGAGGCCTATGAAGCGTCCGCAAGTCACAGACTGCTAACCCCTTTGGAGGAAGCAAGTTGTAGTTATAGTGTTGGTACTGCCAACCTCCGTGTGAGTGTGTTGAGGCCTGTGTGGGCTGGCTGCGGCCAGATTGCTGGCGTTCTGGGAAAACCTCTGCTACATAAGTAGTCTCCTTTGAGGAATTCTTTCAGTTTTTAGTCTTCCCTTATAGCGGTCAAAGGTTGCTCAGACTGTTTTGAGGGTTGTGATCAATCCTGCCAGGTAGCCGCCGAGCATTTAACTTTTATCCAGCCTTTATAAAAAATAGTGTTGAGTGATGAGCTAATCATAGCACATGTATCCTTTTTAACTTACAAAGCAAAATCTTTTCTTTCTGGTCACCTTATGATGGCGTAGGTTGTGGATTCTGACTAACAGAACAAGATTCTTTGAAACCATTGTGTAAAGACGTTTATCTTGCACTCAGACAAAATATCACATGTCCTTGTGATCACAGTACGATGGCTGATGTCATAGATTCGTTTCAGACAAAATCTGTGATAGTTGTATAATGACTGTTGTAATTATTCCATAGAAGTCACGATTATTGAACGGCACATAAAAAACCGTCAACCTTTGTTCTGAGGCCTGGAAATATCTACTGTACACAAATTTATAGGCAATCAATTTAATAGAGAAGAGCCGGCAGTGATAACAAATTGAAGGTCGTAACATTAATCATTGGGTTCCTAAATAGATGCACTAAAACTTTTTAAAACGAGGCCATGGTGTGGTTCTTAATGGTCTTTTGACATATGCACGTCAACCTCATATAATTGCTAAACGGATTGTTCTTTTTATCAATTAAATTGTACTTACTGTTGTTAACAGGTCTATAATAGAGCTCATTATCGTCTCTTGTTAAATGCACTAAAATCAAATTTTATCTAATGGATACTAAAAAAAAAACAGACTGTAGGCTGTAGGTGTTGAGGGTTACATGTATAGATATAACAAGAAAATACATAGGTGTGAACATAATCATAACGCAAACTTTGAACAAAAGATTTTTACGGAGTCTTCTGAAAATGACGATGAGAATAAGGCCAGGTGTTTCTGAAGCGTCTTCTGCTTCAGTGACGACATCGGCATGCCTATTTTGATCTATCCAATTACGTTATGTCACGTGATCAAATGAGAAAAGGGTATACAGCATCGGAACAACCAGTCAAACCAAAATTCAAACACCTCCAGCTTTATATCGCAGAAAGAATAAGAATAATAAGAAACAGCTGTGTGTTGTAGCATCACTGACGAGTCCTAGAAGGACGAAACAGCTGTATGATGTAGCATCACTGACGAGTCCTAGAAGGACGAAACAGCTGTATGATGTAGCATCACTGACGAGTCCTAGAAGGACGAAACAGCTGTATGATGTAGCATCACTGACGAGTCCCAGAGGGACGAAACAGCTGTATGATGTAGCATCACTGACGAGTCCTAGAAGGACGAAACAGTATTGTGATGTAGCATCACTGACGAGTTCCAGAGGGACGAAACATCTG